ACGATTAATATGGTTAATGCCACCAGGCAGAGTCTGCTCGGTGCTCCTCTCTGCTTCAAATATGATGAACATTTAAAAAGTTCTGTAATTTATTTATCTATCAACACAATTTAAAATTTGATGTATAGCCTGAAGTCTGTAATTTTGACACAATTTGGAACAGACTTGTATGAAGAGAAAATCTTTCCCACTAAATTGGTCATGTGACTATAGGACATGAGGGTGTCCAGGGACTCCAGGGGATTAATCGTCAAATTAATCGTTATCGGCTAAATACCACAATTAATTGTGATTAATTTTTTTGCCAATATTGCCCAACTYGAATTGTTACAACAAAAAAATATCCCACCAAACACTAATTTTCTTACTTTTTGTGCTARAAATAGTTGAAGCTCCTCCACAGTGGGTCATGTCTTTCAGACAATAAAACASAAGTTATTTTTGCAATGTTATTAATTTAGTAATTGTAAATTTTGTGCTAAAATTTGGTGTGCTTGTTTAGTTATTCCCAACACACAGCTCAACACACTCCAAGTACTCATTATTACACAAGATCACTCACTAAAATATTTGTTTCAACCATTCACGACAACTCTGTTTGTCTGTTTGCAAAATATCTCCTGAAACATTGTGGATTTTTTACGAAACTTTTCGGAGTTTGAACAAAAGAGCTGCACCTTGTTACTGTCTCAATATAAAACGGTCTCAGTTTTAATCTCTGTTAGGAACGATGGCGGGTGATGTGCATTTCGTCATGGAATACTAAACTGTTATTGAGGAGCGCATCTTGATTTTTGTCTGTATTCTGGACCTGAAAGGCCTCAGCTCGTCTCATTTCACAAGAATCTGTCGGGTGAAAGGTTATAAAAACCTCACAGCAGAGACAAGAGTCTTTACAGAAAACCAAGTCCTGCCTGCAGGTTCATCACATTTACTGGATTTTACCTGCCGTTGTACTTGGTTTCATGTTTCTCCTGCAGTTTGTCTGATCCTGACTGCTGTTTATTTGTAAAATTATTCTCTACATTACCACACCTTTGATTATTTATTAAAACCAAAGAGTATGGCGTGCAGATTTACACAAAAGGTTCCGGATTAAAGACATGGTATTTGTTTTGACATGGATTTTATTTTGTCCTGTGGTTGTGTGTTTCAAAGGCTTTTGTATAGTGTCGTGGCTTTAAGGATGTTTACGACTTGAATCTACAAAGCAATCAAGCAAGTTTCACATTTGAGCTTTCATCAACTGTTCATTTCTCTCAAGCAGCATCATGTTTGTTGTGTCTTTGAGCACTACCCCCTCGTGTCTTTTTTCCTCCTCAGCAGTGTGACTAGTGGTTCTTAAGATAGAATTTCTCAGAAACACTTGTAATCAGTGGATATAAATAACTTTAGATAAAGGGTCTGGTTAAAAGGTATTTCTCTAGAATAGGTCTGTTTGTCTTCATCAGCACCTTTTCTTCTTTTCTGCCTTTTTTAGGCACCATCAAACAGTTTAGCCTTGGATTGAGTTTCTTGAGAGTTTCACTCATTGATGAGTTGTGGTGAGCCGTCTTGAATTCTAAACTCTGAAGTCTCACTGGAGGGGGTGTTCCAATATCAATTTCTGACTTGTAAGTGGGAAATTTCCACTTCCCAGTAGAACTGGGCCGCAGCAAAAACAGCCAAACAAAATGCAGTGAAAGGGAGATTTTTCCACAGCAGATTTCACCAGCTGCTGGCCAATTTGTGCACCTTCACCTAGTGGTGGGGTGTCGTCATTTTGTAGGTAAAATTATTGACAAGCCTTATGKCAGATGTAGTTTATGGTCAATGCTGACTTTAAAGAAGCATACACTTATTTTAGGACATTAAGACATCTTTGAAGCTCTTATGAGCTACAAAAAATGTCATGGCAGAACACGACCCACAGGACTTGAATTTGACACATGCTCTACATTCTAAACATTGAAGCATGTTTCCTAATAGAGGTTGTTAGCTGGTTTGTGAGTGGCTGATTAAATGAAATATAAACAGCAGCATTTTTAAAAAAATGAGGTATGTTGGAATTTGAGGTCGGACTGGTCAAAAACAGCCAACTTTTAGGGTTAAAATTCCAATTTTTAGGGTGTTCCATTAGATTTTTTTTACTTGGAACTTTGTAATTTAAATATTTCTGGACAAATGAAACTCCTACATGGGAAACTAGCAGTTTAAAACTTCCACAAACCATTTATTGTACATAAAACTATGACTTGAAGAATTGTTTATGATTTGTTCATAAATGTTGCTATGTGGCAGCCTTCAGGTAGGCAATTACAGTATTTTAGGACATATTACGGTGTTTCTGTATTGGTGTTACTGAGAACTTTTTTTAATGTTGACATCTGTAAAAGTTCTTCATTGGTTTTTCTGTCATGTGGGTCAGTTTGTAAAAACTAAAACCAGTGATATACATATTTATTTGAAATTCTTTGTTCTGGTTTTTGATTGTTAGTGGCGAATTTACTTGCAGCTGCCCCATGGAAAATTGGTTTTCCTGTGCAGCTGAGCTCATTAAATTTCAATTTGTTAAACCCATTAATGTGACTCTTCTGCCTACTCTCCTTTGTGTAGGCCTGGTTCAGCTGATAAATGATTTTATTCAGCTCTTAATAATGGCTTTCCTTTCTTTCATTAAGTATATTTAATGAACAGCCTCTTGCCAGCCAGTGAAGTGTGAAATGGCAACTGGACATAACACATAAGCACAGTCCATTATCACTTAATTACGCTATAAGTCTAACAAAAAGTTCGTTGGTGAATATGGATGTTGAAAACAAGATGTATCTAATTTATGAAAAGCCACTGAGAAGATCACCCTCACACTCAGGGAAGTCATTRTTTTGCATAAAACCATCCTATTTCAGCCAAATGTTTACAGTTTTCAGTATCTGTTAAGAAATCTACAGGATACATTGCATCTCAGATATTTCTGACTTACCTCCAGAGGAAGGTAAGAAGATGTAAATACTAAATATTCAGAGACTCTTTCAAAATTACTTGTGGAGAGGCATCAAAGCCCTAAAATACTACAAAGGCAGCACCCCACAGACCAGAAATAACACAGCACTTCCTGACCATCTGAGCCAATTTTTACTCCACTTTTCAAAGACTGAGACAAGACAGTCACTAAGGAGGAGCACATATTTTATCTTTCTGCCACTTTATTGCATCACCAAAGTAACAGGATTACACAGATCTTGCAATTGCACATTTGAGTATTTTCCCCACATTCCTCAAATGTAAAATATATAAGTAGTCCCGTCATTTTTATACTGTAGCCGTGAAACCATTCAAAGGTTTTCAGTGGGAAGTCCTGACATCAGGAACTATATAAACTTCTTGATTCACTTGATGAAATTCAGATGAGACAACCTGGTGTGAAGACAAAACTTCAAAGGCAAAAGCACCACAAACCCACAATAACATTTGAAACCAGTTGGACTCTTGTGAATTTTGCATTTTGCAAAAACCAGCTATGCAATCTAAAAACTTAGTGTAGACATACCAGAGGACTTCAGTGATTTACTTGCTCGTCAAGAATAACATTTATGAGTTTACAGTACTCTCAAAAGTCCTGCAAGGTGTTGTCATGCAGCTGGTTTTGCAGGTGAGCTWAAAAAAACTGTATAAATTGTGAGCTTTTGTCCTTTTTTCATTAAGTGTGTGAGCATTTGTCTTGTAAATGTTTGTCATGTGAGCATATGTCAGGAATTCGTACCAATCACTCAATTCATGTGGGGATCAGCTGTGTCTCCTTCCCACACATCAAATATAGCAGGATCAGGATAGTCTTGGTGCTGTTGCCTTTGCTCAGCAAACCAGGGAGAGATGAGACGAATGGTTCTTTAAGAGGATCTGGATCTTGACTGTTCGTTTGTTTCAGAGCTGTTCAATAGAGCCGTTCGATTTTGAACAAGGTACATCATGATGAAATTCCATAACGTGGGTGGTACCATGTGTTTTGTCAAGAGGAACCCCCCTCCCTCTTGCCCCCTGAGCTGCTGTTCTCCACTCGACTGTATTACTAGGACTAAAAATAAATTGATTTGATTTGATTTGATTTATTTATGTAACAGGAAAAGATTATTAAAAATCAAGCCTGACTCAGCATAATTGCTGTTTTACAGCAGGTTCCTGTTCTGCAGCACATAAAACACTCAGAAATACAGCATCACAATCACATCATTGTTATTACACCATAGACACAAAGACAAACTGATGGTGGTCAGAGGGTCTGGTGGCGCCAATGCATGGCAGCCTCGCTTCTGTCAGTGTGCCCCAGGGCAGCTGTGGCTACAG